ATGTTGCGAAGGGAGCATCCAAAAAATCCAATGATAAGGGTATGAGTATCTACGGTTGAGAGACTATATCAATGGCTTTTCGCTGACCAAGGGTTTTCCGGCAGATCTCCCCCCTCTCGAGGACCAAATCAAGACCATCCAGACCCTCCTCAAGGCCTTCAACGACGAACCCCCGAAAGTTGGCGACGTCGCATACGTTGTGTCGAGATCATGGGTGGAAAAGGCTTTGGCGCTTGGTGGAGACCCCAAGTTTGCCAAGAAAGAGACGACAAACGAGCCGCTAGGCCCTGTGGACAATTCCGATCTCATTCTCGAGGTCCTGTCCCAGCCCAGCGGTGACGACTTTGTTCGGATGAAGCCTGGTACGGGCATGGAGGAGTGCGAGCTCTTCCCGGAAGACGCCTGGACGCTCGTCTCGGAGTGGTATGGCGTCGGCGAGGGACAGAAGCCCATTGTGCGCAGCGCTATCAACGCGGCGCCCGACTCGACGAGCGAAAAGAACGTCATGTTTGAGCTGAACCCGCCCGTCTTCACAATCCACAGACTCTGGTCCATGGCAAGCCCTTTCAAGATCAAGGACGAGCTGAAGAGCAAGGAGCCTCTCGTCCTGGCCCGGAGTGCCACCACACCCTACAACCCGTTCTACAAGGAGCTGAAGGAGCTCACCGGGGTCCCTCTGGATCGTAAGATGCGGGTGTGGCAGCTTACTCAACAGCCCGAGGCTCAAGAGTCGTCACCTCGGTCTGCCCTCACACCGCCCGATTCCCCAAACCCAGGCAAGGACGGCGAGAGCTCGTCGGGCCCCTGGCAACGCATGCTCGTGGAGGTGCCTAGCTTCACAAAGGTCAACGGCGGAGACCGACAGGTAGTACCTGCGGTGGACAACACTGCCAACCCCAACTACAATGGCAACTCTCCCCTCTCGGTCTACGGACTGATGCAAGACATGACTCTTGTGATTGATGAAGAAATTGCGAAGAACGCATGGGTCTCAACCTACTTCAAGAATGGCAAGAACGACAAGGTTCTGGCATCTAGAGGCTCTGCCACGAGCCTGAAGGCCACCAGCAGTGGAAGAAGCAGCCCTGCTCCTCAAGGACCCGTTACCAGAGGCCGAACCCAGCAGAAGAAGAAACCTGGCCGGGGCTTAGGCGCCGTAGGTCTCCAGAATCTTGGAAACACATGTTATATGAACTCGGCCCTGCAGTGCGTCCGCAGCGTAGAGGAATTGACAAAATACTTCTTGACGGACAAGTACAAAGAGGAGCTCAACAAGGGTAACCCTCTTGGTTACAAAGGACAGGTGGCAATGGCTTATGGTGGACTTCTCAAGGAGATTTACAATGAGTCGAGAGGTGCAGTTAGTCCCCGCGACTTCAAGAACACAGTCGGTCGTGCTCGCGCCACTTTCCAAGGCTGGGGTCAACAAGATACCCAAGAGTTCCTCGGTTTCCTTCTCGACGCGTTGCAAGAGGATCTCAGTCGTATTCATAAGAAACCATACATTGAGAAGCCGGACTCGACAGACGACATGATCGGTGACGAGGAGGCCATTCGCAAGATGGCTGAGGAGGTATGGGATATCACTCGGAAGCGCGACGACTCCGTCATCGCAGACCTCTTCACTGGCTTGTACAAGTCCACTCTCAAGTGCCCAACGTGCGATAAGATCAGCATCACTTTCGACCCCTTCAACAACCTGACTTTGCCGCTGCCCATGGAGGACATGTGGAGCCGGCCTGTCAAGTTCTACCCGCTTAATGACGTGCCTGTGAAGTTTGAGGTTGAGCTGCCGAAGCACAGTGCCATCGAGTTGTTGAAGAAAGCGCTCTCAGACAAGACGGGTGTGCCTGTGGAGTTGCTGATGGGAGCAGAAGAGTTCAAGGGCAAGTTCTTCAAGGTCTACTCCGATGCCACCTCGGTTTCGGAAGAGATCCAGTCCAACGATATACCTGCTTTCCATGAGCTGGAATCGTCGCCGACCAACTACCCTCCTAAGCAGAAGAAGATGGGTACGCCCAGGTCGATGCTAGAGATCAGCGATGAGCCTTGGGTTGACCCACGCACTGAGCGTTTGCTCGTCCCTGTTCTTCACCGCAAGAAGACGGGCAACACTTACAGATTGAGGGGAGACGACATTGCAGCACCCCCTCACTTCATCGTTGTTACGCCTGAGGAGGTAAGCTGAAATCTAATTCTTGCGACACTTGTGTGAAGCTAACAGCATTCTAGTCCCGGAATGAGGATGCCATTCGTCGCAAGGTTTTGGAAAAGGTGGCAACGTTCTCTACCTGGTCCGAATTTGAAGAAACCGACGAAAGCACCGATGCGGATATGGTCATCACATCCCAATCAGATGCCGATTCCTCAGGAGACAGTAAGGTCGTCTCTAACTCGGTAGAAGGCGAGGATGACTTGGTAAACGTTTCTGTCGGCGCAGGCGAGAAACAGCAGACCCGGCGACCTACTCTGAAGCAATTCAACGTTCGCCGCCCGAAGTGGGCGAGTCCCAAGGAGTACCTTCCGCCTCACCTCCAGAACCTGTTCGAGCTCAGCTTCTTTGGCGAGAGTAACGACTATGGGTTGCCTGTGGGCTGGAATACGGTGGACGACAATAAGAGCTTTCGTCTCCTATCTTCTCGCGCCCCGGAACTCCCTAACGAAGACTCGAACAGCCCTGGCTCCACCAACGGTGCAGATAGTGAACACGAGAGTGTCAGCGAAGAGACTACACCGCAGTCTGTTGAGGAGCAGACCCGCATGGCGGATGAGTCGGAAGAGGACGAGCCCGTTCGCGTCATCAAGGTATGTATTCTTCGGGCGAGCGACAGCAGAGGAAGCGGCAAAAGCTAACGTTGTCCAGCCGATGAACCGAGGAAGGGGCAACCACAAGGTCGGTGGAGCTCGCCGGAAGAACAACAAGGGCAACAAGACCTACGGAAAGAGGGGCGGCAAACGCCGCAACAGAGACTCGCGGAACAGCAAAGAGCAATCCTTCCACGTAGTTGACGTTGAGCCTCAACCATCGCCTGAGGACGATGTTCGCGGTGGCCCACTCGTTCGTCTGGATGAGGGCATTGTCGTCGACTGGTCCGAGGAAACTTGGGACTTGGTGTTTGGCAAGGAGTCACTGCGCGACACTGACGACAACCGCGGCTCAAAGACCTTTACCGAGCCGGAGGAGCTCAAGGACCCCATCTTGGAACAGAAGCGTAAGTCGCGGATGGCTCGCAAGAAGCAGGGCATTACCCTTGAGGAGTGCTTGGATGAGTTCGAGAAGGCCGAAGTCTTGTCTGAACAGGACATGTGGTATTGTCCACGCTGCAAGGAGCATCGACGTGCTAGCAAAAAGTTCGATCTCTGGAAGACGCCAGACATCCTCGTTGTCCACCTGAAGCGGTTTAGCAGTGCTGGCTGGCGCCGCGACAAGCTGGACGTTTTGGTTGACTTCCCCATCGAGGGTCTCGATCTTCATAAGCGTGTTCTCTGCCAGGAGACGGGTAAGGAAGAGATCTACGACCTCATCGCGGTCGACGATCACTTTGGTGGTCTCGGCGGTGGCCACTACACTGCTTACGGGCGAAACTTTGTTGACGGCCAGTGGTACAACTACAATGGTAGGTTGACCCTTTGCAGAACATGACTGCTCGTACTCACCATTTTCCAGATACCTCAGCCAGCAAGACTTCGCCTGAGAGCGTCGTTACTAGAGCGGCCTACCTGCTCTTCTACCGGCGTCGGTCCGAGGGCCCATTGGGCGGCCCTCGCTTCAAGGAGATCTTCGACAAGTTCGACAAGGATGGAGAAGACGATGAAGAAGAGGACACCGATTCGGGGGAAGATCAACGTCTCGTCGGGGGCTCCTCCCTAACTGGATCGTCGAGACTTGGGATCGGAGCCGAAGCAACTCACCCGCGCGGAAATCGTGGTTTGGCTAGTAACACAATGTCCACGGCCAACCCGGGTGCAGAGGATGATTTGCCACCTTATGAGGGTAGCTCCAGCACCAATGTTGGTAGCGACAACATCCAAAACAGCATTGAGGATGAGGGCATCGGCATGACGGACTACAACGGAGACTCGACTGCGTTCTCCGCTACGCAGGGCTGGAACTGGAATTCCTTGGACTCCGCTGATGGTACCAACAACTCCCTTGGTCTGGACGGCTACGGGAGCGACGACGCACAGCCAGACTCGTCAGACGAGCGCGAAGTCGGCAACGACACTGATATGCAGTTTGATGAGACCATGGGAGATTACGAGACCGCCCATGATGAGGCGCCTCCGCCGCCCGATTTTGGCGCTCAGGTTGGTCTGTCAGAGATCCAGACCGCCGCATGGGCCCGTCAGAACAATGCAGAAGTCATTTCTGTGCCAGCTGCTGATGACGATACCGCTTCCACAGAGGCAGCCGAGATCCACCTTGACGACGACGCGGAGGCGCATGGACAGACTACTCGGTCACACTAGTTCTTGCCGATGGATCTACTAGATGACTACGACGTATTGTGATTCCGGAAAGAAACCTGTTGCCCGCTTCGGCGTCGCAGGGAGACATGAAGAGACGCCTGGACGTATACCAAGACGCAAGCACAGCAAATGTGTTCATGGGGCTATGAACAAGTACCGGGGGGGGTTGGTTCAGGGGAGGAGGGATGCATTACACAAAACAAAAGCAGAAAGGATACAATGAGGCGTAAATAGAGATAGAGTCCCCCTCATGCCCTGGCATATACGAGGCTAGTCTTCCATAGCCTTGTTGGTTTTTATTGGAGTATCGGTTGCATGACGGCATGTGTGTATGACTCTTGATTATCACGTTATGCTATAAAAGGATTGGCAAATCCTTAACAAAACTAGCTGTGTATCCTGCTTGTGAAAACATCTGTTTTTGAGAATATTGTTTTGAAGTGGTTGTTCGCCGACAGACATGGCCGACTCAAAATCCGCTTTCTAGGGTACCTGGTGCGAGTGAAATTCAAAAAAACTGGTTTGATTGCCCAGTACCTGCCAGACTGCCCATCAGGTCCGTGCTCCATGGGTGGGTCTGCAACTCGGTTGACGGGGCATCAATTCTTCCCGACGAATGACAGCAGGTGTAATCAATTGCTTCCGCGATCACCAAGCTATCCCCAGAAACCCGAGAGTTGGTTGAGAGCCAGGACCGGAATCGAATTGACGACCGCCACTCTCGAATCCGAAGCGAATCCCCACTACTCAATTGATCACAGCACACCGAAGCCATGTTGTCGGCATCCAGACGAGCAGCGACGAGCGCCCTGTCGCGGCAGCTCCGCGTCGCCTCGAGACCGTTTAGTGTGTCGACGACGGTCCGCACGACCGAGAGACCCGCCGTCGTCGAGAAGAACGAGGCCGCGACGCCCCAGGTCGCCGACAACACCGTCCCCGAGACGGTCGGGCAGGCGCCGAACCGGTCGCTTGTGTGGTCGCGCAGCCAAAAGCCCCGCGCTGAGGCAATGACTGGTCCGCGGTTTGAGCAGACTGATTTCGCTCTCCAGGTGAGCTAAGCAACGTCGACAACCCCTGGAATTGAGTGGAGAGGGTGAAGAGATATGAGGGTGATGGAGGATGAGGGGTCAGATGGCTTGGAGAGTCAATTGTTGGAGATTCAGCTGCTGGAGAGGGTTGGGAAGTCTATAAAGAACTTGGGACTAACGTGCGTCGACAATATAGCCACAACCTCACTCCGCGATGGAGCTCGTTCACAAGGAGCCCGTCCGGTGGACTCACGCCCGCGTCGTGGCGTGTGATGGCGGCGGCGGACCGTCTGGTCACCCTAGAATCTTTATCAACACTGACAAGCCGGAGATTTCGAGCTGCAACTACTGCGGTCTTCCTTTTGTAAGTTTAGACCCCACATATCCTGCTATCTATGCACCGCAACGAGTCGAACAATGGGGAAGAGCTAATTGATGCAATGACCAGGCCAACGAGCACCACCGCAAGCACCTCGAATCCCTCCCCGAGACCTCGTACCCCCTCGCATAGAGCCAGCAATAGCTGTAGACGGTGGAACGGGAGTGTTTGGCAACGGCAATAGCCACAGCGGCAAGGGGTCGCCAGCTTTGGGATGAAAAGAGAGAGCGAATAGACACCGTGTGCTGTGCGACGGGCTGGAAGCCGTGGGCTGTGTAGATATAGCAGGATCAGAGTTGCTTCGGGTTACACCAATTTCACAATTTTCATTCAAAAATTAGCAGATGTTTGAGGTCTCGGGTTTTGAGGCGTTGGTGAGGTGCAGAATGACTGCCCTCTTGAAGCATCGGGGGTCCAAATGGCTTGACGCTGCGAACGTTCGCTGTTTAATTTACCGGCATCGTGAAAGGGACGTTGATGAGATGGCCAATGCGGATAGTCATGAAGACTCATGGCTTTCTTGGTCGTCCCAAATGTTAGGAGTGTTTTCGAAAGGTGCATTAGAAGAGGATGCTGGACAGCGACATGACACAGTTCAACATTCGTCATGGTAAACTGCAGAAAGTGACTTGGAATTTACCATGATTTGCCGCACCATCAGCTTCTACCTTACGGGCATTGAATCCCTCCGATAAGGCGACATTACACAGAATTCAATACGAAAATCAGACACCGTTGTCAATGATTTTCAAACAGTTTGCTTCACTCAAACCACAGGATCTGAGGTCATATTAGTATTACTTCCCGCGTCTTGCGTCTCTGAAACCGTCCAATCTGCTGCTTTCCCAAGGTAATCTGACCTCACTTTATCCATCAAACCTGCCCCACCAGATTGGAGACCAGCGCGGCGCCCGCATCATTTTCCACACTTCCAAGCACGACCACAATGTCTCCGACGACACCACAAACCAACCGTAACCAGACCTCACAGACGACGACCCTACTCATCCTCTGCTTCATCATCATCTGCCTCTTTCCGAACCTATTTCACTTTCTCTGGAACCTGCCTCTCACGGCCCTAGGCTACGCATTTTCAACACGCAGCAGTAGCTCCAAACCCCCACGTCATACCCCACCAACTACCTCATCCGCAACAACATCAACCATGACGGGCTCCTGGTTCCAAAAGCAGTTCTCCCTGCCCGCCCGCTCGCGCGGCTCCTACCTCATCACGGACGAGATCGTCGGCGCCCTCCCGGAGCTCAAGAACTACAAGGTCGGCATCCTCCACCTGTTTGTCCAGCACACGAGCTGCGCCCTCAGCCTCAACGAGAACTGGGACGACGACGTCCGCGCCGACATGAGCGATGCGCTGGACCGCATCGCGCCCGAGGCCGGGCCCAAGGGCCAGGAGCTGTACCGTCACAGCGCCGAGGGTCCCGATGACATGCCGGTGAGTTTTACTTCTTTTCAATCTTTCCGGTGCTACGGTGTGGTGATCTGATATGATGTGCGTTACAGGCCCACATCAAGAGCGCTCTCGTTGGCGCGAGTGTTACTATCCCGATCAAGGATGGCAAGCTGGTAAGTCTGATCACAAACAATGTCGAAATGCTGGATTTCCGGCTCACTTACATTGTCTAGGCCACGGGAACCTGGCAAGGAATCTGGTACCTGGAGTTCAGGGCTAGCAAGCATCAGCGCCGCCTGGTGGCAACCATCCAGGGAGAGCCCAAGGCGTGAGTTTCTTAGGTGCTATGCAGATAGAATGAGATAAAACGTCACCAATTCCAGTTTCAAACAATGAATACCATTCTATGTGGTGTCGATCGATGCAAATATCGCGTCAAACCTATTGTACAAGCCCACCGGTCTACTTATGGCACTTTTGTGACCTACGCCAAAACGCCTCGCCCCTGATCCCTTTTCGTGAGAAGCCCTTCCCCCTTTCTGCGTCCGCATTTCGCGCGACCCGCAGCTCTTACTGCTGTTGCTGCTGCTGCTCGCCATTTTCCTCTTCGTCTCCCTTGGCCTCCTGCATGTCCGTGTCGTCGCCGCTCGCCAACACCTTTGTTCTCGGGACGTATCCTTCAGGTGCGCTCGCGCCGGGCGTAGCAGCAACGATGTTGCCGTTCTCGTCGACGAACTCAAAGTTGTATCTGCTGAGGAGGTGGGGAATCGCCGAGAGCTGGGGGCCGTATCTCGCCGTGTTGTCGTAGAGCTCGAAGAGGGGGACTGCCAGGAGTTTCATGTTCTTGGGGACGCTGAGCACCTCTGTTGGAACACGGGTTAGCAAAAAGTGTCGCTGTTGTTGTGAAGCGTTCTATAAACGTACTGCTCTTGGGCAACTGGATAAAGTAAAGCTTCTTGCATTCCTTTGGCCGAGTCACATGCGCCGGGACAAAGGGGTACATGAAGGTCTCAAAGTTGGGCCGCCACCACTGGGCCAGGCAATCGCCAACCTGCCAGTCAGCAGGCTCCTCACCCTCGCCGATGCGGCCGACGGGGGCGAGGCGCTCGTCGAGGCGGGCCTTGAACCCTTCGACCTCGTCGTCCTCGGGGCGGAGGTAGTCGCCGGGGAGCTTGAAGAAGGCGTTTGCGATTTGCAGCATGAGGATGTGCGGGTGGTTGTGCTCATGGCAGACGAGGATGCCCTCGCAGGTGCGGCGCATGCCGTGCTGGGTGTAGTGCTCCTCGAGGCGCTTGAGGCGGGCGATGACGGAAGGGTCCTCCTCGGGCTGGGTCTCCTTGACGCCGAAGGTGTAGTTGGAGAGCGGGTAGAGGCGGATCGTGTCTGGTTGGTTTGAGTTGAAGGAGAGGGGGATGATGGGCGCGTGGCCCGATTGCAGGGCCGTGGTTGTGATTGTCGACATTGTGGCTGTCGTCCCTATATGTGTGTGCTTGGGTGAGTCTCGTGGGATGCGCGCGACGGGCGGGAAATGCTAATGGGAAAGTTTGCAGCTGATAACCAGGTTCGATCTTGGGAAGGAAGGCGCGTTGGACAGGGCTGGAAGCTGAGCTAAAGCACGGAGGTGTTGGAGCTTCCACGATTCAACCAGGAGGCACAGGCTGGCTAATGGGGAAGGCGGTGGGGGCTGAACCCCTGTTACCCCGGCCCCACCATCCGGACCTCCTTCACCGAGGTGAGCGGCCCAAGTCCAACGACACGCCTTGCTGTACATCGTGAAGTATGGCCAATTTGGCCCCACTCCTGTCGCTGGTATCTCTTATTTCTTTAGTCTGGTCAAGTAATTTCATTTTACCATGTCGTACTAAGTAAGTCACGTCGGAGTGGATGCTGAAACATCCTCTAGGCTGTTTCTCTAACCCTCCTTGCCTAAGGTACGACGGTCAGGCATAGTTAACTCTTGATAACACGGTGACTGCAATCCACTGAAACAGCCAATACGATAGACTATCTACTGCAATCCAGGACTGTTTTCTTTTTTGGTTCTTGGTTCTATTCCCCTCACGGCCCATTTTATTATTCGGACTCGAATCGTTGTGAGAGAGATCACATCGTGTAACAGAACTGTTTGCCACTCTTTGAAACATACACTAATTATATTGTGCTCGATATCATGTTTTGAAACAGAACTATAGAGTCAATTCTTGGTAAACAGTAAAGTCTAGATCGAGTTTTCTTCACTTACCATAACCTACGTTTGCAAGGTTGCTACCACTTGTCTGCGCAATAGATCTAGGTACACCAGTCAGGCAAAAGGCACCCGGCTGATGATGGAGTCACTTTCTCACCGCTGGAGGCAGAAGGACCCGCTCTTTGCTCCTCGATGTGAAAGGAAGGCGCCTCGAACCGAGCACCTTCGCTTGGTTTCTCTTCTGCTTTATGGCTGGTCCCCTCTACCCTTCTCATTGTTTACTTCCCCCACACACTCCTCTCCCATACCTCCCACAACCTACTCTATATCGCACAAGAAGCTTGAGAACACCACTTTTTTTCGCGTTTCCAGGCTATTCAATTCTTCAGGCTTCATCATTCTAATTCTTCTTGCTCATACGAACGCAGCTCTGCTATTCTCGGAGGACCTGATCTCTCACGATCGCCTGAAGAAGGCCATTCAACTCACTTTTCTCCAGCTTGGTAAGTCATCAGACTCTTGTTTCATCATAATCCGAAGGAAAACTTTCGTCTTTTCTTCTATCGGAGCGGTATTTCCAGAGTCGAAAACTCTTGCTCGCCCTCACCACTACAGTACCCTCCTCTCTCTCTCTCTCTCTCTTTCTCTCTCTCAAAATTTGTCTGCCCTAAAATCCTCGTGAGGCGCCCGTCTGTCACACGGTTTCCATTTGAATCGTTCCTGCCCTTGCGATCTAAGCCCAGGAGCTTTCGCTGACATACAACACAGCTCAGGAACCCACTGCTGTCAAACCGGGGAGCAACGATGGACGAAAATGATGGCCATGGCGGCCTGTCACTGAGCGATGTAGCTCACTCGAAGTTGGACCGTGCCAAGACGGGTACAGTGCCTCTCAAGCTCAGAGAGACGACTACCAAGACCACCGAGCTACTTGGTAACCTCAAGATATCCTTGGACAGCATGTCCGATTTCAAGAGGACCAAATGGTGGTGTGAGATGATTGACCAACTTCAAAAGAAATCGGGTATGCCGCGCATCGTCATTGGTGTTCTGGGTGACACTGGATCCGGAAAGAGCTCTGCAATCAATGCTGTTCTGGATGAGGAAAGAGTTGTCCCTACCAACTGCATGCGGGCCTGTACGGCTGTCATCACCGAAATCTCGTGGAACAACTCCGACGATCCGACGCAGAAGTATCGTGCAGAGATCGACTTCATTACCCAAGGAGAATGGACGCAGGAGCTCCTTCAGCTCTATAGAGACCTCTTCGACTCCGAGGGCAGACTACTCTCGACGGACATTCGCAACCCTGATAGTGAGGCTGGTTCTGCATACGCTACTTTGCGCGCTGTTTATCCTCAACTTAATGATGAGGAGTTCGAACAGAGCCATCCCACAGCGCTTGCCAACCACCCGAGTATCAAAGAGGTGATTGGTGCAAAGATGGTTGTTGCAGACAGCGATCCCGACAAATTCTACACCAAAATTCAATCGTTTGTGGATTCGGAGGAGAAAAGCAGCGGCTCTAATGGCAGGCCTCAGGAACGCAAGATGGCGTTTTGGCCTCTGATCAGGGTTGTTCGTGTCTTCTTGAAGTCAGAGATTCTATCCACCGGTGTTGTTCTAGTGGATTTGGTATGTTCTTGCAATCCATTCTGCTCTTGGCTATGCTGACATATAGAAGCCCGGAGGACGGGATTCGAACAGTACTCGAGCCGCAGTGGCGGCCAAGTACATCAAAGAGTGTACTAGACTGTGGGTAGTCGCGCCGATCAATCGTGCTGTTGACGATAAGACGGCAAAGACTCTCATGGGCACCAACTTCAAGCAGCAGCTCAAGTACGACGGTGCATACTCCAGTATCACCTTCATCTGTACGAAGGCGGACGATATCGCCCTTGATGAAGCAGCCGAAACTCTTGGCGTGAAGGGTGTCATTCGAGACCAGCAAGAGCGATATGAGACTTTGCAGCCTGAGATCAACTCAAAGAAGAAGCAGTTGAAGATGTTGGAGTCTCAGAAGAGAGGCAATCATGCCCACTACAAGGCGATCAGCACTGAACACGACCTCTGGCAGGGAATCGAGCTACAGGCCGCGCGTGGCGAGAGACCTTTCACGCCTTACAAGTCACCTCGCAAGCGCAAGCGCCGGGCCAGAAACTCATCGGCTGAGGCCACGCAGCTCAAGGGGGACGTGGAGTCAAGCGACACAGAAGAAAGTGACGACGAGGATGAACTTGCGAGGGATCTGGATGACTCCGGCAATCAGCGTGAAGTTGTGTCAGCCGAAGATGCACTTGCAAAAGTCAACGAGCTCAAGGAGCTCAAGAAGGCTATGCGCAATCAGAAGCATCAGCTTGTTGAGCAGATCAACCAGCTCAAAGAGACCATCGACAATCTGGTGGCCGCGCGAACACAGCTCAAAGTCAGCATGTATCATATGTGTATCCAGGGCCGGAATATGTATTCTCGCGAAGAGATCCAGAAAGACTTCGGCATTGGTCTTCGCGAGTGAGTCACTTTAACCTTCCCTATGGCCAGAGAACGATTTCACTAATGACGATCTTCAGACTAGATGACGAGCTCATCGCGGAGCAGCAGGGTGATGACGCATCACAAAACATCCAGGAGTCTACCAATTATGAACAGATCGGCAGAGAGTTAGCCGTCTTCTGCATCAGTAGCCGCGGATACCAGCAGCTGAGAGGCCGGATGAAGAAGGACACTCAGGTTTTGGGATTCACCTCCTTGGATGACACCGAGGTCCCGGGTCTTCGAAATCACACCCTTTCCCTAACTGCTGACATCCAAGCCTGCTACTTCAAGAGCCATTTGAACGACATCGGCCGTGTGCTCCAAGGACTAGATCTCTTTCTCGCCGGTGACGAGGCCAGTCTCAAGCTCTCAGAAGCCGAGAGAAAGGAGGAATGTCAATTTCTGAAGACGACCTTGAAGAACTTGTACAAGGTGAGTTGATATTTGGAGCAGATGACATTATGCCGAAATCTAATATCTCTCTCACAGAACCTGAAGAAGGACATGGCCGAATGCATGAGCGCTTGTCAGAAGGCTGTTCAAGGCACATTGGTGCGCGCGCCGCAAGGCGCCAGCAACGCATCTGCAAAGGCGGTTGCTACTGTCCGCAGCTGGGGCGCGGATCCCAAGGCTGGGGGCCTTCGCTTCCCGACCTATCGAGCCACTTGCCGTCGCCGGTAAGTCGCCCATAGCAGACATCCTGTCAGTACTCGAGTAACTAACACCGTAAAAGTGGCATATTCAAGGGCGCTGCCGGCCCTCGCGATTTCAACGAAGGTGAGATAGAGCAGTGATATATCATGCTAAGACATCGGCTAATCATGGGCGTAGAACTTTTGAAGCCTCTCAAGAATCGCGTGGCTCACAGTTGGAATACAAGCTTCAACGTCAAGCTGCCTGCAATTCTGGATGATTTCGCTGCAGCTTTCAAGGCGCATATTGACGAGTTCCATAGAACTATGGAGAGTCGCCGTTTTCTTCTTGAGAACAGTGGTCTGGTTCAAGGCATTTTTGCTAAGCAGGTGACCAGATTGGCCGATAAGCTTGAAGGCTCCACGAAAAACAAGAAGCTGTTCGTCGCCGACAGCCAGAAAGAGGCTAATCGCTGCTTCGTTCCTGTGGTTTCCGATGCCATGCGCCCGGCCTACGACTACTGCGCCCAGCAGAGAGGTGAGAATTTTCCGCACCATGATCGTAGAGAGTCAAAGCAGAAAGCTAATGACACTCATAGGCGCCGGCTGCTTCTTTGTCATCAAGGACTACATGGAGACTCACGTCAAGACCCAGCGGGCGACCATGTTCAAGAAGGCCGCAGACAAGACGTCTGATGCGGCGCAGCTGATTATGAAGCGTCTGGACACGATGATCCGCGACGAGGCCAAAGGCCTTCTGGCTATCGTCGAGCAGGACTACACCACCCTCATCGGAACGGTGGCGACCGAGTCAGACAAGCGTGTTCAGAAGATGCTGAAGCCCGTTCTCACTAAGTTCTACCGGGAGCTCATCGATGCCCTGACTCTCATTGAGGAGGAGATCGTCATTCCCATTGCTGAAGTCGAGACTAAGCCGGGCGGTAACGGAAGTGATGATGAATACCAGCTCGATGAGGACATTGTTCATTGATGACTCGGCTATGGATCTTGCAAGGATTGTAACACTGGAAACTGTCTTTGGCCCCTGGGGAATGCAGGATATGGATACTCGGACTTTTTGCTCGATGATGCTTGCACTTCGATTATAGCACGCTAGGTCTGGGTATGCAGATTTCAAATAGCTATGGGGTAACCGCCTGATTAGGCACTGAGATAGGATTGTGATAGGAAAAGAATGTATGAACAAGGAAACACTGCGCAGAGGTGATAAAGCCCATTGATCGAGTGGCAATGACAACCACTCTGAGGGTTGGAAATTGTCTCTCATCCGCTAGACTGCGGTGATATGTAGCGAGCACTTACACGCGAGCTATTATTATATGTCTCGTCTCCACTGCTTTCCCCAGTGAATGAATTCTTCGTCATCGACGTCCGTAGTTATCAAAGTATCATCAAACAATGATCTCCGGTTCGAGCGTACCTTGCTGCCACGGCGAAGTGTGTATGTAAGGTACTGTAGGTAGCTACTAACCATACTGTCTTACAATTTCCAGGTGCCTATAAACAAACCTTGGAAGCCGAAGCAATTGTCATGAGACTGCTTTCATTATCAACCGCTCGATACCTTCTCACTTTGTTGAGAATAACATCAATAAAAGCAGATAAACAAAGACCGGTCTCTATGACATAACACCAAGGAGACTCAATTCGGTCGGCTCCGAGCGCCCGGCGGCCGAAGAGGCCGCGTCCCCGGATAACCCTTGCAGGCAAAGCCGTTGAGAACACGGCTGCGCTTGCGGCACGTAACACGGTAGCACGCGGAAAGACTCGTAAATACTCTAGGTCAGGTCAGGTATGACCGCACCGTGCAGCGGTTGACAGCGGGAGAGCGGCGGTGCCCGCCTAGGAAACTCTCCGTTCTAGAACGGCCCGACGGGACCTTTTTTCTGCATTCTGCAGCAGGTATGGAAGAGACATACAGACGTTGATCAGGCGGCGCGAGCAGAGCAAAACGGGCCTGGGCAAAGGAGGAAACATGACTGCTCACACCCGGCAATTGGGGAGTTTGTCTCGTTGTGTGGCGTGAGCTTTCCCATTGGTGTTTTGACTCCTTCTCTTATAGGTAGATACACCGCCATAAGCACCCGCCACTGAGACGTTGCACTCGCATAGTAACTGGGCATTTCTCGGTGTGATCAGGGCCATGAGGTTTTCCCACCCTGCGCCCCCAAAAGCGCAATGCGCAATGCGAGTAGCGAAAGTCCATACGTTGCCGTGTAAGCAAGAGAGCATTGCATCACCACCTGCGTAAAATAAATTGGAAAAGAGGTACAGGCAAGGGTGGGATGAAGTGGGACCGCTGTTGAGAAATGCGAGTCATCAATAAGTCCGAAAAGCAGGGCAAGGGGAAAAAACCTCAAAGTCTGTTTTTTCAGCTTTGGGGATCCCGTGACAGTCGTGGAGCCCGATGCCCCCGTGGGAAGACAAGTCACGGGGTTCCGGGACCGGTGAGAGGGGCGGCCAGTCATGCGCCGCGGGGGTGACGGCCGCGTGACACCCCAAGAGCCGGACTCGGTCAGGGAAAGAAGGCCAACGTCCGGCGGGGGTGAAGGAGGGGAGGGGGCCACGGGGGGCGTTCGAGTCTCGACGTGGGAGGTTCCCTTGCCCGAGGCAACCACTTGGCACCACTTGCTCGCCAACGAACCTGGGCAGGGCGGTACGGCGCAACACCACGTCGCCCAAGAATGCCACCTTATCTACCAGCGGAGGTGTCTAGGAAAGTATGTCGGAAAGTCAAATTCTATGCTTCCCAGTTTCCCACCCCCATCCATGCTGGCGACCTTGTCCCGTCGTGGGGCCATTCTTCGTCAATGGCCTTTGACGTTGATGCGCCCCCTCGTTCTTTCGAGTTGTACAACGTTGAAGCCTGCCAATGAACGTTGCTCGTCATTGTGTTGGAGGGGTGTTGCGCGGCTTCTCGTCTGAAGGATAGGCAAGATAAGTCAAACACAACTTCATCCAAAACAGACCCCGCGTTATCAGCGAAAGCTAGAGCCAAATTGATATCGTTCTCGGGGGTACTGCATAATAGGTTTGCTGGAGCAGTTTGGCAACTTGTGAATTGTGTTTGTAAGCGGCCGTCTCGAGAGGGTGACCTGTAAGCGCGTGTAAGTGTCATGGAATGACCCGCAGTTCGTAACCGCCCATCATGCCCATCCATGGCCGCAGTACACGACAAGCCATGAGAGGCTTTGGTTGATTGAGGATTCGTCAGTACACATTGGAAAGGGCGTTGCCGGGTGCCGAGATCGGTTGTTAGCTCGAGGGTTGCAGCAATCGTTGCAACAGTTGCTGCTAGGCTGGGGATTGAGTTGAGTTTTTGGCCTTCTTGATGGATTGTCAGGTCAGGGTGCCAATGTCATTGCCAGCGCAGTGTCATTGTGGAGCTGAGAGTACTTAGCCCAAGTCTGATGTTGAACGGGGATCGGCGGTTTTGGGAGGCTTGAACCACTAAGAACCTAATGCGACTCTTTAGGAGCCAGAACACGAGTCTGTCGGACCAGTGAGGTGTGGCAGAGAAGACGGCTCATGGCATAACTGAGTGATGGAAAAGTACATGAAGAAATTTTCATATGCATGTCAGTGCTAGGGTAGAATGTAGCGGGACGGGACGGGGTGGCCGACGGTGGATGGAGTTTGACGGAGTTGGTCCAGGCATTCGGCCGTTCAGACTCTCAGACTCTGAGGTCCGGTCATGTAAGTAGCACAAAGTGCCTGCAGCTGCCGGGTTCCGACTCCCAAGTTGCGTGGTTTGAGACGAGAAAAGAGAAAAAGCAAAGAGAAATTAGACATGTTCTGGGGGAGAATGGCCACGTGCCTGTCTTCAAGAAGCAATTCGATGTGTGGTTCGGTGAGGAAAGCGCCGTTGATACCCGAATAACATGGGGCGTCCAACGTCCAACGTCGAGGGTCAAACGATGCGTGGGATTAGTATTGCATAATACGGAAGCAGGCGCAGACCATCAGCATCGGTACCGGGCGTATGCCATGCCTCAGGCGCGGTTGGTAAGGCAGTAGTTGTTGCTGGTGCTAGTGCTGCTGTTGATGCCTTTGTTCTCAATGTTGATGATGGCTGTCATTGTTGAACATGAGGTAGGTACCTAGATACCACGTATTAGAGGATAGCCAAGTACCCTTGCCGATGACCCCCATGCGACTCGTGAGATGGCATGTCGAAAAATGTGAGCCTGGCAATCACACCCTGAAATTGGAAGGCGGGATGGCCTAGGATTTGCGCCCACCAAGAGCACCGAGAAAGAAGCAACCCGGCAGACAACCAGCTCTCTGAGGGGTTTTCATGCCCTGAGCTTGACTCTTGAGAGGCAAGAGCGACTGCAAGGCTTGACTCTTTCCAATTTAGAGGGGGCTTACTGTAGGTTGGTTGTAAGGGACGAGGCAGGCGTGGGAGGGCAAGGGGAAGGAGAAGAGGAAGGGGGGCCTACCTGCCTTAATCACCCCTGTCTGCTTGGCAATGCCGGTACGTACCTGCCGCCCACCCCGAGATTCCAAGAATCGGAAGCCCGCGCGCGCGCCCACCCAAAAAAGATTCCATTTGGCTTTCCATTGCAGAGAGACGGGGGGGAGACAGAGGGGCGGAACCTCCCAAAAGGCCATGTCCCACGTCTTCCTTTTCGATGGTGAACCACGCATCCGACCCGACCCAAAATCCAGACAGCGGGGATCGGGGACACCATCTTTGAGGGTGTTCTAGGCCTCTCAAGTACATATTCCCGCCACAACCACCACAGAGATACTTGCAGATTGGCAGTTCCGGGTCCTGCTCCTGTACTGCCCAAAAGAATTAACCCACATCCATCGCACATTGGATTTGCACATTTGCACATCGGCCACTTTGGACCGACCACACCCACCACGCGCTTGACTCCCCACGCACAATTCATCTCTCGTGTCTTTCTGCACAAACTCCCGCAGACAAGGCACCCACGCAGTATCCCTCCAGTCTGGTCTTACCTTTGGGTCTCGCTTGGATTGACTTGTCCAGTCCAGGTTGTTGTCTCGCCCGCTCCTGGCAGGTTTTTATCTAATCTTTTCTATTTACCTCAGATTCTGGTCTGATCCGAGACCACAATCCAATCCACACACCCCTCCCCGGGCCCCCGACTTTCCCATTGATCATCTCTCTCCGCGGGGAAGAGACACACACACGCACACACACACAACCACACACACAACCACACACATTCGCACACAGAGAAACATTCCCCAAACGCGTTCATCTGCAACCTGAACCTCTTTCTCTCCTCCCGCCGCCGCCCACCCCAGTGTGTCTCTGTCAACACCCTTTGCGCCTGTGCGCCTGTGCCTCTGTGCCTGTGGTCTGGACGCAACCGTAAATCGCCCATCCCGAACAAACATTGGACGCCGCCGACCATTTCGCCGCAACCTCGACCCAGACGCCTTGCGTCATGCCCACGCCCAGGAACCCATTGGCCCACCTCCACGCCCCGATTCCTGACCCTCGTTCGTCTAGGTATCGGTCTATCCCCTAGTCGCCGCTACCGCTACCGCTGTCACTGGCACTCTCCGTCTTGCAGTTGCTGCTGCTGCCTCTGCCGGCCTTGAGCGACATGGTTGACATGGACGATGCGACGAGGCTCATCGGAGACCTGCATCAGAAGCTAGCCGACCTCGACCACAAGGTTGCAGCCTACCGCCAAGACATGGCCCTCGAGTTCCATAGATACTCCCACCAACTGCTCCAAAACATCCCACAACACACCAAAGCCGAGGTTGCTCGTCAAGTTGCCGCTTCCTTCGACAACTACTCAGCTCTACGCCCTGCTCTCGGCCAGAGTCTCACAACTCACCTGCGAGATACTGACCTGCCTGACTCACCGCCGCCGCCGCCGCCGCCGCCACCACCGTCTACCAACGATACCGAAAACCCCGGCAACCCCCGCGAACCTCCGCCGCCATCGTCCACCTCTACGTCCGCATCCACGTCCACGCCCCCATCCGTCCTTCCCCATGCCGGCACCGCTGCCCTAACCTCCCCCGACAGCGTTTATGACCGGGAAAGGGATAGGGGTTTCCACGGTCTCTTCACCCCAAGCTATCTGCCCCTGCTGGATAGCTCACACGAGACTCCTGCTGCGGCAGCAAACCAGTCACCAATCCTCTCGCCAGCTTTAAACTCTGCTGCTGCTACGCAAGACGACATGGGTCGTCGCAAGTCCAGTCAAACTCGGGAGCAGCCTGCGATCCAGGTGTCGGTCGCCGCAACCCAGACGCCTGAGAGGCCGAACCACGAACGCCGGGCGACTGATGACACGACGTCTTCTGGAGCTTCGGAGCAGAGCGAGTCCAAGGTGCGCCGCAGCGCCTTGCGAAGAAGCTCGAGTGGGATCAAGCCACCTGCCAGCCCTAGGCGAGTGCGCTTCGAGTTCGAAGGAGGAGAGGTGCTGCCTACAGCCTCGCCCCAGTCATCGGAGCCGTCCCTTATACAGTCGCACACCCTTGCCAATTCGAGGTCACCGCCTCCACCAGAAGATGAGTCAATGAGTGTCGAATCCTTGCTGGGCCCAGACGAGGACGATAGCGGCCCGCCGCCAAAGAAAGTCTCTTCTTCACAAGCACTTCGCGCTCTTTCTCGAGCTCCCTTGGATGCTAACACAGTTTGGACTGTTGTAAATGCCGAAGCCCAGGATAAGGAAAATGGTAGTATGGCAACATCGGATTCAGAAACGTCATTGCAACCCAGCGACAGTATTGGAACACTCCCGAAACCTCAATCACCACCAAAAACCACATTGGTCGAGCGCAAACGAACCCCAGAACCATTGCGGCCTGCCTCTCCAGAGAGAGTCAGCCAGAGGGATGATGACGAGGACAGTGACGGCAGCTCTTCGGATGACGGCTTCCTCGCCATGGCAAAGCCAAAATCCTTTGCCAACAAGAAAGCAATTCTTTCACCGTTATCACGCTCACCAACAAGAACGGCCACTGCGCCTTACAGCCCTACTCGAGACAAGTCAGGGTCGCACAACGAGGATAAGTTGGTGACACAAAACGATGGGCCGGACGACGACGACGACGATGACATGTTCCATTTTGAAGGACTCAGCGCACCGCCAAAGCCCCGAGCTCGACCAGCTCCGATACAGGAGGAGGAGGAAGAAGAGGAAGAGGAAGATGAAGAAGCTGCGTCGAATGGGCCAGTCACCCAGACCCTATACTCGACCTCGCCTGCTGTCTCTATCCCGAAGCCAGTTGAGCCAGCGATTCCGGCACATCTCATTTCAGGCTCGGTTGGATCTTTCAGAGGCCGCCCTGTTATCATGCCTGTTGTGAAGAACCCTGACGTATACCAACAGGCAGCATCGCTCGGCGATGTCAGCAGCTTCATCGGAGGACTAGACGGACGCAGCGGCGTTGACGATGGGGATCTCAGCAGTTACCGTGCCAGTGTCGGGCAGGCATTGTTCTCGGGAACTCCTCGAAGTCTGACGGAACGAATGATGATGGAGGAAGCACAGAGCCAGAGACGGGCAGCAGCGCAGCGACCTCAATAAGGGTAACGCGTCACTGCGCTCCTTTTTCTCCGTTTATGTATATGTTACGGGTATGAGCCAATTGTAGAGTTCCGGAAGTCTGTACATAGACTATGCTTCGGCGTTTAGATGCATCATGGCTGGGCAACTAGGAGGATGTGGCATGCCGAGGCCTTTGGCAGGATGGTTTGGAAGGTCTAGGCCGGTGGCACAGGCATCATTCGTACATGGCATACCCGCATCATGGTACCTAGTTTTTAAACCACAAAACAAACGCCTACGGGCTGTTGAAAAGAGACAGGAGGATACATTCGCACTGCTTGGTTTGATGAAATGTTGAAGGATGGATGTCGTTTCAACCCTCGTACTGGTCACGGCGTCGAGGTTCCTCTCGGGCTCTGTCAGATCGGGCTGTTTGGGACCCACACCAAAGCCCGGACGGGACCTGAGCAAGTGGAAAAAACCTGCGCCGAGCCTCCGGCTCTCCCGCCCAATCCCCGGGCGCGTCCAATCCCGCTGCAGATGATTCTCAGGTGGTGCAGCTGGGGCCAAATGCAAGAGCTCCCATCCCATCATCCCGCGAATCAACTTTGCCATCGTCATCGACTCCCAATTGCACAACCACCATAGCCCACGATCACCACGCAAAACAGTCACAATGGGTGGCCTTAATCTCGAAGTTTTCAAGGTGAGATTCAATCACATCCCTGGCCCCATTGATCCCGTCCTGCAGAACTACTTCGGAGACCTCTTGACTGACATGGCGCCACCACCACGACAGTTTGGCATGTATGTCATGTTCCCGATCGGCGTCATGTACTACTTTGGCACCAACCTCGACAACCGATTCGCGGTGCCCGAATTCTGGCCCAAGGCCGAGCACTCCCACAAGATCCCCTTTGACCGCGACGAGATCAAGAGCGAGTATATTCGTCTTGCCAAGAGGCAGCGGGCGTTTGACGAGATTAAGAGGGAGAGGGAGGCTGCGCAGGCTGCGCAGAACCCCGCGCCTTCGAACGCGGAGCAGTCATGAGGGTCTTAAGTCACTCATGGATGGAGAAGAGGCACATTTGATCTCAATTCACACCCGGGACTCAACATGTGAGAAGGGGTCGAACGGATCGAGAATCTGCGCTGTATCATATAGGCGTTTTGGGCGGTCAAAAGAAGAACGTTCTTGGGCTTTGGGAAATTTGTCATGCGATTGACGCGGAGTTTTGGGCGGAACGGATATCATTCCTGGGGGTTGATTCGGATTCTCGGGTTGCACCCCCCGACAACGCCCCTCTGAGGATTCCATCACTACTTGTATTATGTGTTTTTTTCTACATGTTGTACACGAAAACATGGTATCCTACAACAAATGTACATCAATATCCAAGAGTCGGGTGTTTAAGCCCCAACATCTATGAGTCGAGGTTCTCCTCGATGCCGGACCACTGCTCCTCCGGGATGTCGCCCCGCGTGGGGTTGCCGTACACGGCCTGCACCTCGGGGAACTCCTGTAGCGCGGCCAAAAGCTCGCTGAGCGTCGTGGCCTCGAGCCCCTCATCAATCTTGACCTTTGTGTCCTCGTTTGCGTTCCAGATGATTTCGGAGCTGAGCAGCTCGAGCTCAAATTTGGGCCCCACGCCATTGACGACGGCGTTGGTCATGTTAGGTTGCGTCCAGACGACAAGGTTGCCCTCCTCGTCGGCCTCGAGGTCCTCGGCGCCGCACTCGATGGCGTCGTCCATGATGTCGTCGATACCCACGGGTGCACCACCTTCCTTTGCGGCAAAGACGACGCGGCCGAGGCGGGTGAAGAAGAAGGTGGCGGCGTTGGCGGTGCCCTTGTGCTTCTTGACGAGGACTTTGAGGTCTTGGAGGGAGCGGGCCTTGCTCTCGGTCTCGACTTCGATGATGAGGGCGACACCGGGCGGAAGGATGGCTTCGAGGGTGAGGGATTCGAGGGAGGCGCCTGAGGCGGAGCGGCCTTGGCCTCGTGCGATGGCGGAGTCGATTACGGCTTTGGGGACGCCGTCTTGGACACAGGGTTAGCCATTTGTGTGCTCCGTGAACGAATGCGGGTTTGTTTTTGTGAAGGGGGTACCTTTCTTCGCATTTGCGACTGCTGTGACGAGTTGAGGGTTGTTGTCGGTTCCGTGTACTAGGTGAGAATCGTAAGCTTTTGCGATGCAAGGGCCGGTGGTGCGACGTGAGACGCACGCCTTGAGTAGAGGGCAATAGTCTTTGAGTGCTGGCTGCGCATATTATTCTTTTGCGCGTCGGCGGCGCCCTTCTTGTGCTTGATCTTGGACCACTTGTTGTGCCCGCTCAATGCGGCGGGCGTCGTCGAGAGCGGACGCAGGCATTGGCAGCAAAACGTTGTGGTGGTGGGCTGAGCTCGAGGTCTTGGGATGGCGGTTTGAGGGACGGCGGCGACGATGCGCGATGCGATGGTCCGGACGGGGCCGGAGGCGAACGGGCGCATGATCGATAACGGAAGGGTATAAGTGGCGATCTCGCCGGTGGGTTACCAGTTCTCCAGAACAGATTCGCGGTCGAAGTCTGGAGCTTTCAGTGTCTCGTCTGGTTCATGTCATGTTTCTGGCCGGGACACACTTTCTGGCACACGGACGGGCGGGAGCGATTGGGAGCTCGGAGCTTCCTCGAAATTTAAGTGGACCCATCCGGTCCGTCTGATGTGTGGCTGGTTACCTATTCGTTAAACCCTTGACTTTTGACAATTGACACCTGAAGGTGGTACGGCTGAGCCACAGCTGGCGCCTCAAAGTGATATGTCATGGCTCTCGTCCCCCCTGATGGAGAGCTTGGGACAGACCCGCCGGGGGGTAGCCGCCCCTAATTCCATGGGGCTCACCTTAGACCATCCTGTACCTGACCGCATGCCTGTCCTGTCCCTCAACCTGTCCCCAATAACCCATCCCACCCTTCGACAACACATCCGACGAAAAGGGAACAACAGCATCCATTGAACAAAACACCAGAATCCCCCCAAGTGTGTGCGCTCGACGGCGTAACCTCACACACAACCTCCCCGTCGTCCCCAATGTCGTCGACAGGAGCCCCCAATGGCTCCAACGGGGACCACGCGCAAGCAGCTGCCTCACCCAGGCCATCGACAGCTGCATCGGGACCACCACAACCACAACCGCCCCCGGCCGCAACGACAGCTACCGCGGCAGACTCGTCAGCGACATCGACCCCCGAGCTCGACGTTTCGAAGCTGCAGTCCCTCCCCGCCGAACAACAGGAGCTCTTCCTCCTGACCTTTGTCTCGACCCTCTCCAAGCACGTCCTCAGCCTCCCCGCCGACGACTGCACCGCCCAGCAGTTCTACCTCAAGAAAGAGATCTTCCAGATCATCAATCTTCCCTCGCCGCAGCCGAGCCGAGTCGTCAGAAACAACCTGGGAAAGTGCCTCGCCCACATCTTTGGCCATGGCGACAGGAAGCTCCTCTTTGAGACTATCAATGATCTAATTGGCATCATTTCGGGCGCCAAGTCCAAGGCCGATGCTGGCCCGCGCACAAAGCACGCTGCTGTCGCGTGCCTGGGAGACGTCTATGTGTCCGCCGGCGATAGCGCCATAGGCCTTCACCAGTTGGCCTGCGCCACGCTCATCAAGCTGCTCAAGTCGTCGTCCAGCAATGCAGGCCTCCGTGCTGCGGTCTTTGTGTCCCTGGCCAAGATTGTGAAGATGGTGGAGGGAAGCGTGGACGAGAACGTCGCCAGGGATATCTTTAAGCAGTCGCGCAGCTATGGCACTAGCGACAAGGGCTCGCTCGTCATCGTTTCGGCGTGCCGCTGCTTGAGAGCCCTGGTTCGGCACACACCGTACTTTGAGAACTCTAGCGACTTTGAGAAACTGCAGGCTGCTATCTGGAAGGCCGTTGATTCATCGTCATCGCAAGTGAGGCACGCAGCCGCGGAAGCGCTGGCCGAGGCCATGGTGCGTGGGTACTCAGAGGCTGGAGTGGCGGAAGGCGCTCCCATGACATCAAAGGCGTCCAAGAGGTTTTCCAAAAAGCCCCTCAAGCGCACAGGTACAGCAGCCAGCATTGTTGCGGACGAGGACGACCTGCCAACGTCGCGGCCTGGAAGCCCTGCCCCTGGTGGAAAGAGGACGCAGGATCTTGCGCTGTCTCTGGCGGAGATTGGCAAGATACTATCGACGCAGTATGCCAAGATGCCGACGTCCAACAGGGCGAGAGCCGCGATTGGTGTCTGTTACGGCAAGGTGCTCAGAAAACTTGGCGAGAAGACTGTGGAGGCGAACTACCTCAGGATCCTCGAAAGCTTGACGATTGATATCTTGGGAGCGCCTAACATTCTCAACAACCGCTACCGTCTTCTCATCTCGAGGCGTATCGTTGATACAATCCTTCAGGACATCATTGGAAAGAAGATCCTGGGCGAATCTGGTCAGACTGCGGCGGCAAAGTCGATTATCAATGACATTCTGAAAAACTATCCCCAAGCCCTGACGGAGCGGCCCGAGCCGTCCAAGCATACTCTTATCGCCGCCCTCGGCGCTGTAGCGGCGCTCATCAATGACTTGGGATCCGCTGCCAACAACTTTGCCGAGTCTTGCCGCGACGGCCTCTTGCAGGTTCTCCAGCACCCCAGCTACTCAGTCCAGGTGCATGCATCGGCATGTATGAAGGCCTTTGTTCTGGCTTGTCCACAGCAGCTCCTGCCCTGCTTGTCGGTTTGCATGAACAGTTTGAGCAGAGAGCTGGCTCTGTTGACGAGTGGCCGAAATTCTCCTCGACGATGCGTAGGATTCGCCCACGGCTTGGCGGCAACCCTAAGTGCCAGCCCCGCGCGACCTCTGCATGGTTCCGTTGACATCAACAGTCGTGTCCTGACCATGGCCACCAACTTACTCAAGTCGAGCGGTCAGTCTGAGTTGAGGGTTTCGAGTACTCAAATCCAGGTCGCCTGGATTCTCATCGGTGGTTTGATGTCGCTCGGACCGAACTTTGTCAAGATTCACCTTTCTCAGTTGCTCCTTCTGTGGAAGAATGCGCTTCCAAAGCCATTGTCTAAAGACAACACGGCGCACCGGAGTTTCTTAGAAGCCTCATTCTTAACACACGTCCGAGAGTGTGCTTTGGGGTCTATTCTCTCGTTCCTGCAATTCAACAATCGCTTGCTGACAGTCGATGTCTCCAAGCGTATAGCAACGATGCTCCAAAACACGTCCGCATTCTTGAGAACGCTGCCTGCGAGAAAGACTACTGACGATGTGGCGCAGAGGCTGACACCGGCATTGCAGCTTCACGATCTTGATATGATGGTGCAGCGTCGGGTTTTGCAATGCTACATCAAGCTGGTCAACCTTAGCCCGGCTGGTGGCAGCGAGGCCCTTTTGCAATCCAACCTCCTCACAATCGCGATATCGCTGTTCGCGGACCCCGAAAACTACTCGGTCAACTCTCTCAGTGCGTCAATTGCCAATGCCGCGGCCACGTTCGAGACTGTTTGGGATGTCGGCGACAACTCTGGGTTCGGGATCACAGGTCTCATTTCCGGGTTCAAGATCAAGAGCCTGCCAGGCCAGCAGGACAACTCAATAGAGGGAACGCCCCTGGAACAGGATACCCCAGAGGAGGCCATTGACAGATTGTTGTTGTCGCCAGTTTGCGGCACTTTAGAACATGACGCATCTCTGTTGTACGTCGGGGACATTGCCTCGGAGACGAATCCAGACCCACCAGCTACGGAGGTCATCAACATGGCTATTCAGCTGTTCGCATTCGTGTTCCCGCTCACGCCCCCCAAGGTACAAGAAAGCGTTCTTGAGCAGGTTAGAACCTTCATGTCAGCTGGACCCCTTCTGAGAGATCCGGGAAGGAAGGCGGCTATGAATGTCAATGTCTCAGTTGCCATCTTGTCGACGTTGCGCGTGGCGGCGAAGGAGACTCAATCTTCGCCTGGAAATGTCACCAATTTGGCCGTGGAGAGGCTCCTACAGGACATGCTGCGGGATTTCGTCATTGATGGGGACCAGTATGTCCGGAGCGTTGGGTATGCCGCGGTTGCTAGGCTTTGCAATGCCTGCGGTAACGCCTTCACCAACCACGAAATCAAGTACCTTGTCGACACCATCGTCAGTAACCGAGAGCCCAGCGCTCGAGCTGGCTGCGCCATGGCACTCGGATCCATTCAAACCAAGGTCGGTGGCATGGCGGCGGGCTACCACTTGAAGACTATTCTCGGTATTCTCATGTCTCTCTGCAATGATCCTCATCCCACCGTCCATTTCTGGGCCTTGGAGGCGCTCGCACTGGCATCGGATGCGGCTGGACTAAGCTTTGCTGGATACGTGCCTAGCACGCTCGGAATGCTGGCGCAACTCTACGTCTCTGATACGCACCACCCGGAAATCTCGTCTGCTATTACGATGAACCTCGAAATGGAACTCTCCACCCCTGCAGCCATCACACGATGCGTAGACTCTCTCATCAATGTTCTGGGTCCAGATCTGCAAGATTCGACCAAATCCAGAGAGCTTATCCTTAACCTGGTCAACCAACTTCAGGAGGAGGATGACTTGCTGGTGCAGCGTGCCACTCTGAGTTGTTTCGAGCACCTGTCACTTTACGCGCCTGGCTACATGCATTTTGAGGACTACGTCAAGTTACTTCAGAAGTACCTCAGATCGGAGTACCCGATCTTGCGCGACGTCGCCGTCGATGGCTTGTACAACATCATGAAGAGAAACCCCAGTGATGTGATCAACGCTGCTGAGAAGGGTTTCGAAGATCACCTATGGCTGGTTCTCGATACCGCGCCAACACATGATGGTATCAGAAACATCCTGAGGAATTGGATGCGACAGACTTGTCTGGCTGATACCGGCCTCTGGCTGCAAAGATTCCAGACAGTGCTCAAGATGACTAGGGCCAAGGCCAAGGAAGAGTCTGACGTCGGGCCTAAAAAGACGGGCGGATTGCCGGATCTACAAGACGAAGAAGTGGCTGGCTTTGCAGGCACCGCGAAGGATGATCAAGATAACAAGGCCGGGGCTGAAGTCGAGCCTCTCCGATGGCAAGTTACGACGTTTGCCATCAGTTGCATCAACGACATGTTTGTCCTCATTGCGAAGGACGTGATGACGAACGGCGAGTCCGCTGCGCAGGTAGCGCTCCAGAATAGGATTGGTGATGTAGTCCGCATGGCCTTCTCCGCGTCCACGTCTAGCGTCCTGGAGCTACGCGTATGGGGTCTCAAGATTATCGGAGCAGTCCTCAAGATGTTTGGAAGGACGCCTGACCCTGACTTTGATGAGGCCATGCTTCTCGAGCAGTACCAGGCCCAAATCAGTTCCGCGCTCACGCCTGCCTTCGCCGCGGACTCGTCTCCTGAGCTCGCTTCTGAGGCTGTCAACGTCTGTGCCGGCTTCATCGCCACCGGCATCGTTACGGATGTTGATAGAATGGGTCGCATCCTCAAGACTCTGGTTTCTGCTCTGGAGAATTTCTCCAAGGAGAACGAGAATGCCGGCATTGGCGAGCTGAAGGGCCTCAGCTCCAATGCGCAAGTTATGGTCAAGATGTCCGTCTTCTCGGCCTGGGCAGAGCTACAGGTGGCCAGCTCGGAGCAGAAGTACCTGCTCGATGTGCTGAAGCCTCACATTGGAACATTGACGCCGCTGTGGCTGGAGTCGCTGCGGGAGTTTGCCCGCTTGCGCTTCGAGCCTGACATCTCAATGACACTTGGACCCCCTTCATTATCTGGCAGTCTCGACACTATTTACGCAGCCCTGAACAGAGAGACCCTGCTCAAGTTCTATCAAGAGTCCTGGCTCAAGCTTGTCGACGCTATTGCGAGCTTGATCGAACAAGACAGCGAGTTTGTGTTTGATGCTCTCGATGGAAAGGAGTCTGAGGGGCTGAGCACGAACGGTCACACCAAGGGACCCGACATCAACTACCGCGACGAGCCTGTCGCATTCTTCTTCGTCCTGTTCGGAATCGCATTCGAGGCTCTAGCTACGCGACCTGGTCAAAGTGACTCGTTGGCCACCCAAGAGCAGAACCTGGCCATTCTTCAGGCCCTCAAGAAGATCCTCCACCCGAGTGTATCCGGTCATGCAATTTACAGAGAAGCAATCTTCTCGGAGACTATGGATCTGCTTGATAGACTGGTGTTGACAGAAGGACTCGACGTGCAAGGCGTCATTGTAGAGATTGCAAGGGCACTCTGCGTTTCACACCCCTCAGCACGCAAGAAGGACTCTGGCGATGACGGTGATCTATCAGACGACATTGACCAGCTTTTCGAGCTCACACGCATCATCGTCCTGGTCCTAGCTGGCCTGCTCCCCAACCTCACAGAGGCAAACCAGCCCGGCCGCCACCAGATGACTGAGGAAGCCGTGCTTCTCATCCGCTCATCCCTAAATGCGCTCGTTGATGCTGCCGAGGTCTTCCCCTCCATCATCAAGACCGATCTTCATGCCTGCATCATTCACATCCTGGCTACCATCCTTGCAACTCCTGGATGTCAGGAGGTCATCGTTCCGCAGTCGCTACCCACCCTCAAGCGCTTCGTCGCGAGCATGACGAAATCCCGCAGGGCGAGCAGCAGCGAGGACGGCAGCGGCCCATCACCTACGGATGTTCAGCTACAGGGTTGTCTGCGCCGATTCCTTTCGATTTACCTTAACGCGCAGAAGCGAGAGGTGCCAACATCTCTCACCTGTGTCAAGAATTGTCTACTCGCGAGCACCATCCTATTTACGGGCGGCACGAACCACCTGGCGGCAAACGATGCTCTTGTAGCAAGATACCTTGATGAGGTGGTCGACTGCCTGACGGATCGCATGGTATGTAATCATCTAAAGATCCCTTCGACGCATCGAGATATGTGACTAATATTCGGATCAAAACTTAGACGGCCAAGATCGCTGCCAACTGTATCAGGTCGCTACTTCTGCAGGGCAACCCTACACCGGCAGACCACACCATTGCGCGCTACCTCCTCCCGCGCCTCGTCGCATTTGTGACCAACACGGCGCCAGAGGACCCGGAGAACGCCCGCTCCATGATTGCGCACTCGCTGAGCCAGTACGTCGGCGTGGTACCCCGGGATCGCGTCCCCGTCGCCATGGCGCTCGTCCTGTCGACCTGCCTCGCGCGTGCCTCCTCGGAGGGCGAAGACTGCTACAGGGACACGTCGGCACGGCTGCTGGAGCTGGCGGCCATTGACCAGAACGCGTTCCGCACCGTCGTGGCGAGCATGAGCGACGGGCAAAAGGCCTTCTTGGAGGAGGTCATTCGGTGGGGACGGCAGCAGGGGCCTACGGAACAGACCGCGAGCGGGGCGACGGGTCAGCCGAGCATCGCGTTGAAGATGGACTTTGGAGGGTGATATGTGATCAAGTTTTTATGGTTACTTTTTGTCGTTTACCCCATCCTGGGTCTCTGACGAGGAGAAGTAGCAGAGGTATACGTAGTAAGAGGAGGAACACTGGAGGTAAATGCGGCGTTGGGAGGGTGGTAGCATTGGGGAGGGAAGATGGCATTAGACAGATGCGACTTGCTGTCCGGTACACTTCCCTGCAGGAAGCCTAGGGCAAAAGAGAAGGAGAGGTTTTTCAAAAGTAGATGTTACAAAAGAGCAAGAATTCATGCCGGCAAAACCCATGAGCTGAATTTTGTGTTTTCCGTCCCCCCATCACCTAGGGATTGCTGATTTCCCATTCGTTCCGATGTGTCAGAACTACGGAATACCGGATGGAAAATGTCGCTAGCCGGAGAGGGTGGGGGGGCTAGGGATCCAAAACGTATCCCGTCAACTCGGATCTCGCATATCCACGGGTTTGGAAAAGGAAGTATGCTACTGCCGGTTGCCGTCCTTTTTTCATCCGGCGTGGAAGAGTCCTAGGTGATTTGATAATTCTCATCCGGCCTGGGGCCTTCTCCAACGAGTTGGCTGGTATTTCTTTTTACTCTTCGAGAAAGAGGGTGGCGATGGTGGTGGTGGTGGTTTACGTGCAGGAATAGAGAGTGTGTGGTGAGGAAGGGATAGACATCACGTCACGTTTCACAGCTTCTCTATATCTCGAGGAGTCTAGAATCAGAAAAAGGGATCTAGAATCAAGAATCAAGAAAGGTGTGGCGTTTCGTTAAAAGCACCATGCTTCGGCCGAAACCCGCATTTCCTCCTGGTGGTTGGCATTTGTTAAACGGCTTATGGCTACAGCGGATTCCTTCGCACATCGAATTCCTCGTCTTGCTTCTCTAGATTTCCCGACAATATTTCGCTAATCATTGCTATCCTTTTGGGAAAAGACCCCCAATAAATGCCACTGTTTTCGAGCAGAGTACCCTTGCATGAGATACCGTAGATGGACAGGAAGCAGGAGGCAGGCAGAAGGGGAAGTGTAATCCGTATTACCGTGCAGTAGATGTAGACTTTTGCGCCAGCGTATATGCAGGTAGGTAACCGCGTGCCGCTCGCTCACCCTCCTCCAAGCTGTGCCGTGCCATCGATTTCATCGGCATGAGACCGGGGACTCATCGACTCTGTACTTCGTCTCCAAATCTCTTAGGGAAGCAGGCGGACAGAAGGTTGGCAGGAGTGAATGGGAATTTGGAATTGAGGAACACGTTTCCAAGTGTACGTTTGACGTATATGGTCCCGCTTCTCTGGATTCGCGCGGCTGGATCTGGGCCACTGCCAACATGTGTGCTCATGGATTTCCCCAGTCTCCTAGACCAAATGGAACGCGGATATGCTCTAGATGTTTGCTACAGCATCACCAGGATCAGGCTCGGTTCGTGGCCGGAGCCGAGGCCAACGAGGTGGCAGACATACATAGGTAGTTGCATGAACCCTTCCACAAGCTTGATGTGTTGGTCTGGTAAGGTCAATGCTGCCGTCGTGGCATTCTCTTTCTTTGGTCTGGCCAGGGGCTAGAACCCCCGGCTAGGCTGGTATCCGTACCGATGAAGCGGTATGGAGGAATACAAAGCATGTAGCCATGCGCAAGCGCGCGGCGGGTATTGGCGACGTGGCTGTCCCTTAAGACCATCCGAGAGACAAGAGGGAAACCGGGTTCTAGAGAAATTGAGGGGACGAGTGTCGGATCCTATGAGGCTTGTCATATATCATCGAAATGGCTACCCCATGACTAGGACCAGGCTTTCATACGCCAACAAAAGACCACAGATGGTGTGCTGGGGTTCCCTTCTTGCATTGTTTTCGAGATGAACAGGTGGTCCGTAGCGCAGAAAAGCAAGTGCATGTTTGCTGGTTTGGGCCAAGGAGATCATCTGCCTGGCCTACTGCTGGCTCTACTACTGCTGGCTCTATTCTGCATTCACCACCACCACCACCACTACTCATTTCCGGGAGCTGCCGTGAATCAAATGCGGGTTTGTGGAAAGTGGGCGGCTGCGGCACGGTCTCGGTCGGTATGGTGTTCACTGGTGTGCCAAGGTGAGGAGAAGGAGGTGACGGATCGTAATTCTCGATGAATCAGATTTTGGCAGTTCGTCATTCTCCCATTCCTTTCCCAAATGTATCTCTTTTGTTATCCGAGGGCCCGAGGACTTGTCGTCGGGGAGGCGGACGTTGTCGCCGGATTCAAGCATCCACAACTCCGTGACTGCGACCGCATATTACGGGCGTATGTACGTAGAGTCGGGCGGCATATGCATAGCGCTTCGCTCACTTCACTGCCTGTCGCTTTACCTCCACAGTGATCTTGCTCTCTTTTCTTTCTTTTTCCGCCCTCCCATTTGAGATCGCCTCACAGGACGAGTCAGGAGTAGTTATAGATCGTGCAGGTGAGACAAAAGCTTTCATCGGCCTAACGGCTGTAGAAGACGTTAGCCCTCTCCCAAGCCCGCCCCTCCACGCTTTGACGGCGTACCCGATGGATGCGGACTTGACATGGCGGATGGCTGCATAAGACCTCTGCCCCGTGTTACTACCACTAGACTGGCGTCGGCTCAAATCCGAGAGGTTCTGTAGTCCATTCACGGGCGAGGGGCGTATGAGTATGTCATCAAGCATTTCAGCCGCCTTGGGATGCATTGCCTGCCGCAACCCGGGCTTCGCAGCAATTTAGAAGCCGATAACGCCTCATCTCTACTCTCTCGTATATCTTGGACGAGTGTCGACTAAGTTGATACTCATGCGAGGTAGTTGATCCGGGAGATTTGACTGTTGGTAGTGAGCCCTGTTCCGCATCTGGACGCGTGCTTCTCACTCGCTACTCCGGGTCACCAATCTCGGTATCCCACCAACCAGAGCCCCCAAACTTCATCAGTCGCTATGCCTAGCGCAGGATGCAGGATGCAACGACTGCGTTGGCTCCATTAGATGTTGCTTGGCCCGAGGCTACGTCTGAGCCGTACACGCCGTCTGTTCGTTCAAGATTCGTTTCAGCCATCACGGGATTTGATCAACATGCATCGAGTCGCCCGTGTTTGCCTTGTAGGTCCAATCGGGAGACTTGGAGTGGTAAAATCGACCAAATCGCCAAAACTATCCGATTCCTGCCCAATTACATTATTGGTGATGGTTTCTGAGCTCCATCGGGCAACAAGTGGATGGTGACAAAATCCACAATGCCTGCTTCGTTAAACATCGTAACCCGAAAGAAAGTCCGGGGTTCCTAGCTAGCACAAGAAAACTCTTGTAAAGGCAAGAGTAAAACAGGAAATTTCCATCTCAACAGAGGCACCACGCATCAAGCGTCTGGGGATATGTCATCTGAGGCGCATTCAGTTGTTGAAATCAGTGGCAAGGTGCCTTCCTATCACCCTTTTTTCTCCTTGGACTTTGATGGAGGCTTGCTGCCGTTAGCAATCAACGGGAGTTTCTTTGATGCTTGCGATTGGTGAGAAGATGACGAATCGCCTGATGGTTGATTACTATTCGAGTTGGGCGTTGCTGATGTTTTGGACTTCTCGGTCGATCTCTTCTTTTTTGCCGAGTCGCCGCTCTTCTTTGGACGAGACACTGGCTTTTGTGGTTGTCCTCCGGTGATTCCTTCGCCGATGAAAAATGAGTCGCTCTTGTACCTATTCCAGTCCTTCACACCGAGTGCGTCGGAAGTGCTTCGTGCAGTACCTAGGGCCTGGAAGGTGGTGTCGGTTTGGCCAGAGGAAGTAGAGTACGTGCCCGTACTAAAACCGTCGTCTGCATAACGCATGGCTGGCTGTTGAGTGCTGTAGTCTCGACGAAAACCACAATTATTCTGGTCCCACTAAAGGACACGGAACGTCAGTAAACTTCTCTTCATGGGACACTGTCTTGCCAATGGTCTTACCTGAGAATACGATGCTTCTGGATAGGAATCATACGAATACGGGCTAGTCTGTTGAGAGTTTGGATCTGTGTATTCAGACCTCTGCGATCTCGTGCGTGTAGATGCTGAGTTCTCGTTCACCTCAACATCCTTTATCATGATGGGGTTTGACATGTTACGATCGTCGAACATGATCCGCCTGCCGTGGAACACGCCCTCCTTCAGGCGATCTCGAATGCGTGTTAGCGAATGGCTTGACGTCGCCAGCCGATCGGATACACCCACCACAGGCACCATAGAAATTGTGTTGGCCCAACACCCTAATCCAGCCAGACGTACTAGGTCCAAAGATTTGAACATGGTCGACCACACAACCTTCGCGGAGCCAATCCTTGAATTGCCTCCAATTTGTGTCGAAAGGCAGCTGTCTCGTCTGTCAGGGTATCGGCTCATTTGCGGTGTAGTCGGTGTCACGAACGTTTGCTATGGGTATGTAAAAGACTCCGGTTTCCTGACCGGGCCGAGCCAAGTACGGTTGCATGTTGACGCGGGACGACGGAACCCAACTCCTGGCACTGGGCTCTGTCCAACGTTAGACGCCAACGTCTTGACTTTGACTGGTGGTTGTGTGACGGTGCGAAGAATCAACCACTGCCAGGATCTCGTGGGACACAAGATCCAGTGATGAACCACAAAGCCTTGGCCGTCCTCGAATCGATTCGGGCAAACAAAGGAAGGAGGTGATGGTTTGAGGTGGTGAGGAGAGAACAATGGAATTCGTCTTTTATATTGGCCTAGTTCTCTCCATCCTCCATGTTTCCTCATAGAAACCGCGGAGAACAACATGGCCAATGGAGAGAAATACTTGTCTTTAGTTCGAGGGAAGGGAGATCTCTGCTAGTGCTGCCTCCGGGTTATCCCAGTCTGAACCGGTACTTGGCAGACAGACATTCCATCTCCGTTGGAAGTAGTCATACTGGCCTAGGTACCCGAACCCATGTGCTGCGCTTTGGGGTTTCTTGCCTGTGCCAACCAACACATCCGCTGTTGAGTCGGCCGAATGGTCTACCGGACATGGTATGGGGTCAGCAACGATCTGGTACCGAATACCCGCAGTACATGCGGCGCCAAAGAACGTCGCAACGAAAAAGGTGTGATGCAGCTCATTTACTACTAGATCGTGCCATTGAGCTCTCTTCCCTTGTAGCATCGTAAAAATGACAGCCACCATGTGGGGTCCGACTTGATGCAAGTTTGTTTTGGGCACAGTCACCAATCGCGCGCATAAGCTCTTTGGCTGTTGTTGGGTTGAGCAAGACGGCTGCTATCATTATCGAGTCATCCGAAAATATGTGCCGTGAACCTGGTCATTGGAGGCTGCGATGTAAGCTGCAGCCCGGCAATACACAGGATTCCTCCCTTAAGTTGCTTCGAAACCAAAGAAACGAGTGAGCAGGGCTCCAATTTTTTCTCGATGATAGCCAGAAAGGCTTCCCTTTTCGACTAAGTCGTCCCGATCCGGAGAGGGAGCTAGGGACACCATTGGGAACAATGACCAGGGACCAGCGGTTTATCAGATGGTCCATGAACAGCTGAAAGTGCTGATCAAAATCCGAATGCATTCTGAGCCTTTTCCCTTGATCATTTACAGCCAATGGCAAGTTGGAGTGATAGACTCGAGGGGAGCAGGCTCGGACTGAGAAAGTTCCTTCATAGACCCCTGCAGTAAGTTGGTACGATGCTGTGCCGCTGTACGTAGCCTGCACCTCCAACGCATTGTAAAGCCTGGGCTTGCGGGTAGTCGATACAGATTGGCGTCAGTTGAGAGAAGCCGCGAAAGACAATATCCACTAAGCGCGGTGCTGGTAAGCCACGTCAACCTGTCAGAATGATGAAAAATTTCCCCAGGGAAGCGCCTGGAAATTCCAGAGTTCGAGCGACGAGCAGACGAACTTTGCACAGTATCGTTTAAAGCCCTGTCCTTGAAGCCATGTTACGGCTGTCCGCAAGAGATGCGAACGCTTACCACTGGCAGTCCTTCATCATGAGGATAGTTTGCGCAATGTGGCTGCGGCAGCAGCATGCTTCGAGCTGGGGAATGACCACAACTTTCTGCATCAAGTCGGTTCGGGTGCTGTATCCATCATCGCGCTCGGCTGCACCACCGCGCAGCCGCGGGTAGCTGGGAAACCAATGAGATCTGCGTGACATCCGCAGGTTTGGGGCCTGTCTTCGGATGGTTGGTCGGGGAAGCTTCTAGTGCAGCCGTCATGAGCCAAAGTGGTGGCGCTGCAATCGATCAAGTCCTTTTAAAAGAGAAGGTGTCGTCTACTTCGGACATGTCTAGACCGGACAGGTCATCGTCGAAATCGTCCAGTGCAGGTGCCTCCATCTGCGTCTCATCCTTGCCAGTGGTCATTGTCAAATCATTGCGCTGCGCGTCTTGCCATGGGGCTCCGGACTCCTCAGCTTCCGCAAGTGATGCCATGAGATGATGCTTGCTATCTCCCAGCAGGAGAACGGCAGAATCACCAGTCCAGTCGAGCCACGATGCTTGAGGCTTCCCCAGCACCTTGGCATCGGGTAGCTGTCCTCTGAAGTGAACTGTCTTCGGGCCGTCGGACAAGGGGTCCCAAACGAACACCAAACCTGCGTAATTTTCTCCCTCGCACGTAACCATGAGCACTTCGCGCTGTTTTGGATGCCAGGAGAAGGCCAAAATTTGACTGTGGAAGATGAGAACGGCGCGCAGTTCAGATGACGCCAAATCCCAAACCCAAACAGTACTTGGCCAGTCCTCCAAGGTGGTAGCTAAAAGACTGGAGGATGCATCAAAGACGGATAAAGTGCGGGCTGGCTTGGTATCGACAGTGCCGTTGCTCGCTCGGCCCGGAGCAGATACGGACTGGGTCGCTCGCGAAAAGGAGTGCTGTGAACCTGATTGGGTCGTGGCGATCTCCTCTTGCCAGATCTGGCATTCTCGTGTTAGTCTACGCCAAAATTATTGCGCAAAGATAGGTTGTGTCACCCACCTGAACGGTATCCCTCGGAGTAATGGTTGCAGGATGTTCGAGTCTCATCGACTCGGCAGCGGACTTGGTTTCCAGAACGCATACACTGCGAGTGTGGTCGCACACTGCAATGCGAGCGCCGTCCGGGCTGACTTGACAGTGCTTTACCCCTGCGCCGAGTTCGTAATGCTTCTCCTCGATGGCCCAGGGTGAGGGTCCGGACCACGTCTTGAAGAGGTGGCCGTCGGGCGTGTAAAACAGGATTTTGTGTCCTTGAGCCGCAGACTCCCACATCAGGAGCCAACGGCCGTCCGGGGTCCAGGCCAGTCCTTGAGCATCGACAGTATCGGGCTGCCAAGAGCGAAGGACTTGTCGTGTCTTGGGATGGTGAACACTAGCGATATCTTTACCGGCGACGCGTGTGAGGATGGCCAAATGTCCTGAGCCGGGGCGAAGTGCAAAGCCACGAGAAGCTACACTAGCTTGGTGGAATTTTGGGTTGCTGATCTCGATGGTTCTCGAAGTGGCCAGGTCGAAGATGGAGAACTTGAGGCCATAGGATGAGCACATGAAGATCTCGGTATCGGAAGCGCCAAACTGAACAAAGGTAGGCTTCAGATTAGGGGTCGCAGGGTTTCGTATGACGCCACGATAGCCTGGACCCGAAGCCGAGTAGATGAGAACCTGGTCAGAGAAGCAGGCGAGAATGCGTCTTGACGAAGGTGACCATCGCAAAGCGTAGGCAGTACCGACATTGGACGGTAATTTGACGCTATGAATAGTCTCGAGGGTTTCGACAGATCGTACACTGACGCTGGTAGGCGACAAGGTTGCGATCAGGTTACCATCGGGACTTGACGCGCAATGCGGCGATGCTGTCGGTGGTAAGCCTTGTGGAAGAGAATGGATGAGAGGACGCCGAGAGCCTTACATTTAAAGATCCTTGAAAAGTGCATGATGCATGGAGTTGAAGAGTTGTGTGTTGGGAGGCGCGAAAATAATATCAAGCCCAGGTACGGTACTTTACTTTGATCAGGTACTATACTTATGATGCGTATTCGTAAGATACCTACCAAAAGGCGAGCCTGACTTGTTTAGGAAAGTGAGACAAGGTCAGTGAGGTCTACTCCGTACCGAGTATTGCTTGGGGAAGTAGCAAGGGACGGGTGTTTTTGCCGAAACGAAACGAAGCAGGGTTTCTTTTTGGTCTTTGGGTGAGGATGAATTGGGCAAGCGTTCCTGAGTCTCGGCAGCGGTGGAGTCTTGAAGAAAAGCCGTTGTTGCAATGGAAGGAAACAAGGTGCTCGTCTGCATCTTTGTTGTTTACATTGATTCCTGTTTTGGACTAGCGCGGGGCAGCATCACAATCTACCTAGGTACCTTACCGTGAGTGCTTAGTCAGGTAGCGCTTGTTGCAGTGTCCGGGCTCTCTCCGGCTCCATGGAAGTTGCCGGCCAGACGACGATGGGAAAGGACGCCGGAAACCAATCACCACTGCCCTATTTCGCCAGCACTTCAGACGCCGCCGAACCCCGCCAAAGTCCAGACATCCTTCGCCCAACTCCGTCGGCCCCGGTGACCTGTGCTTGTGCTTGTGCATACGCCCTTCAGCGGCACTGAGCGGCTCTTTCCCACCTCACTTAGTCTCACTTTAGGTGCAGAGTAGTCGCTGAAGTGTTGTCTGTCGTCTATCAACGGGCTTACCTCACTCACAAATAGGTAATCGCCACGCTTTTGCTGACTCACAGTGTCACATATCTCATAGCCGTGAAAGCAATTTCACTCCTCACTCTCGATCAAATCTGATTCTCATCCATTTCATAGCCTCCACTTTCATCTCATTAACAATCATCATCACATGTCAGTGTTGTGTCAACCATGGGAATGAGCAGCGTGTGATTATTCCTCTTTCCTCTTTTCTCGGAGCTCGTCTCACTCATCCGACCTCTCACACTTCCTCATACTGAGATAGAGCGACATGAGACACAGCATATCATGGCCTCGCACTGCCTTGCGCAGCAGCGGCCAGCTATCACAGCGATGCAGACCATCACAGTCGACATGCATACCTCACACGCACACGCAGACGAGGTGTTTGAATGCGGCTGCCGCTGCAGCCCAAGTCACACCGAGCTCCCAACACCAACCACTCACCACCCGCCGGCGTCTCGTCAAGGATGCGAAACCCTTCTCCGACTTCCTCACCGATACCTTCCACCGCCAGCATGACTACCTCCGCATATCCGTCACGGAACGCTGTAACCTTCGCTGCCTTTACTGCATGCCCGAAGAAGGCGTGCCGCTCTCCCCGACAAAGGAACTCCTCACCACCCCGGAAATCGTCCTGCTCTCCTCCGTCTTCGTCTCCCAGGGGGTGACCAAGATCCGCCTGACGGGCGGCGAGCCCACGGTGCGCCGCGACATCGTCCCGCTCATGCACCAGATCGGCGCCCTCCGGCCCCACGGTCTCCGGGAGCTGTGCCTAACCACCAACGGCCTCTCTCTCCACCGCAAGCTCGACAGCATGGTCGAGGCAGGGCTCACCGGCGTCAACCTGAGCCTCGACACCCTGGACCCGCACATGTTCCAGATCATGACCCGGCGCAACGGCTTCGACGCCGTGAAGAAGAGCATCGACCGCATCTTTGCCCTCAACAAGGCCGGCGCGGGCATCAAGTTCAAAATCAACTGCGTCGTCATGCGCGGCCGCAACGACGCCGAGATCGGCCCCTTTGTCGAGATGACGCGCGATAAGGACGTCGAGGTCCGCTTCATCGAGTACATGCCCTTTGACGGCAACAAGTGGAACAAGGGCAAGATGTTGGGCTACGCCGAGATGCTCGACGTCATCCGAGAGACGTATCCCACCTTGGCCAAAGTCGAGGACCACAAGAACGACACGAGCAAGACGTGGCACGTCCCCGGGTTCGCGGGCAGGATCGGCTTCATCACGAGCATGACGCACAACTTTTGCGGGACGTGCAACCGGCTGCGCATCACGAGCGACGGAAACCTCAAGGTGTGTCTGTTTGGCAACACCGAGGTCTCGCTGCGGGATATCCTGCGAAAGTCCAACGGCGGCGAGCCCATTGACGAGGCGGCGCTCGAGGCGATGAAGCAGATTGAGATGGACCGCCGGCAAGGGCTGGCAGACGCTGGGAAGCCGCTCGGCGCAGCGCTCAACGAGGCCGAGCTCCTGGACGTCATTGGGATGGCTGTCAAGAGGAAGAAGGAGAAGCATGCGGGTATCGGGGAACTGGAGCATATGAAGAACAGGCCGATGATCTTGATAGGTGGGTAATCGCTGCCCCTTTTCTCCTATACTCTTGGTCCATTGGTTATGAGGAAAGGGTTTGCCTGCTTGGTTTATTTGCATTGGGACGGCGTTGGATACCAAGGGGATGATCGCGTGGCATGGATGCCCAAAGGGGATCCTATACGGAACGTATATATAAGTATGTATGTGCACATGAATGGAAGGCTGAATCAATAGTTTATCTAGATTCTCAACCGCTCCAACCGTCTCGTCTGTTATCTCCCACCAATGTCTCCAAGCCAGTGTTCATGAGCACGCCCATCAGCCTCACCCAGGCACCTTCACGCCGTCCTCTAGGCGTGTCAGTGGTACCCATCCACCTCCTCTCCGCAACACCACATCACCACGCTCAACTCAGACCCTTCTCCTCAACCACCCGCCGCCGCAAAGATGATTCCGACAAGAAGAGCAAGGACACCAACGACAAATACAATGACTCACAAACCCCCAAACCATCCTTAACGCACATCTCCCCCACAGGCTCAGCCCACATGGTCTCCATCGCCGCCAAACTCCCCACAGCCCGCATCGCAAAAGCAGCCTGTACCATAACCTTCTCCTCCCCGTCTCCCATAAACCTCATCCGCGCCTCCCAGATGAAAAAGGGCGACGTCCTCGGCACGGCGCGGATCGCGGGCATCATGGCCGCCAAGCGCACGCCCGACATCATCCCGCTGTGTCACCCGATCCTGCTCTCTCACATCGGCGTCGAGGTCGAGCCGGCCAGCGACGCTGAAGACGAGACGGTGATTTGCGTCGAGGCTACAGTCGAGTGCGAGGGCAAGACGGGGGTCGAGATGGAGGCTTTGACTGCTGCTGGGGCGGCGGCGATGACGGTGTATGATATGTGTAAGGCTGTGGATAAGGGGATGGTTATTGGGGGGTTGAGGGTTGTTTTGAAGGATGGGGGGAAGAGTGGGCGGTGGGAGATGCCTTAATATTTGTTTCTTCGTGTAAAGATCTTCCAGTGTCTCGTATGTCAAGTAAGATGGGCTTGAAGTTGGTAGCCGAGTCCTCAAAAATGACATAGGACTGAAGGGGGAAAATGTTGTTCGCTATGGCGAATCTGTATATAGAGCAGACCAGATCCCATTCGGGATTAGAACATGTATCTTAAACCTAAAGGGCGAGGCACAAGTCAAGTCAACCGCAAAGACACCCCACATGGTACCCAGAAAGCGGGTTAAGCAAGAAACGGAAAGAGGAGAAGCAGCCCTTCACTGAAAATTTGACATCCCGAATGTCTATAACCTCAAGTACCAAATATCTGACAACCTCGAAGTTCCCTTCCTCATTGAAAAAGGATAGAACCGTGCGCAGTAACAGTAGGACAGCCCCAAACACTCATGGCGGTCACAGTGGGATGACTTAGTACCTCACAAACGAGCCAACAGCACATACGCACCCTTTCTCCCTGCATCAAAGAACAACCCGTTTAAGGACGACAAGATTCAAGACCCACATTTCATAATAGACCATTCACTACCACTCAACTCGCTTTCAAAACGTATTCGTTGTTAAATACGGTCCGGATCAGCACGCCCTCTACGAAGTGGTTGGGAATAGGCAATCACCTTACAAGGTCACTGTGTGCTGGATTTCGACTCATCGATTCCTCTAGTCTGAGCGAGTGAATGGCTTCACAGGACTTTTGCCATGCTCCTGCTAAGAAGCAGTGAAGACCAACTTCAGTAAGTGTTGTGACTTAGATTTGAGTTAAATACCTTACAGTGAATCCTAGAGCCAGGGTTTTGCACTTGAAATTAGTACACCCTGACCATGAACGTCTCTTGTTGGCTACGTTTTAAGATATATAGGTAAGTGGTAACACCTCGACCGAGATTAGGTGTAGATGAATCAGCCAACGTCACTTGCTTCCATTTTTTTCTTTTTTTTTTTTCAAAAAGGAAGAGGTATACTAAGGCTCAGTCGTGGGATGATAGGATAGCAAGCTTAAATTGATATGGAGCCACTGTATTTGAATGCCCGTAAATCTTGCACCGAACGAAGCATTATTCACTGATGCATTTAAAAGCTGGGATGTTGCTATGCTATTAACCATGACACCAAAATGTGACAATTTGCTATGGGAGTTGGGTATAGCTACAATAAAATGTCTCCGCCAACCTCTCTCTCTCTTTCTTTGTGTCGGCTCCATCTTTTATACAATCTCGCTTCATTCTCCCTCCCTCTCTCTCTCCCTCACTCGTCACGCATCCTTCTCATCCTTTCCATCTACAATACTTCCCACACTCTACGAAAACTCAGATTTAATCTCCTTCCCGACATTCATCGCAATCCAATCCGCAATCGCCATATTCGTAATCATGGGATTCACCCCGCTGGCGCTAGGGAAAACACTCGCATCCGCAACAAACAGATTCTCCGTACCCCAAACGTGACCCTTGGGTCCCACCACGCCCTCGTCCTCGTTAGGCGCCATACGGCACGTACCCATCTGGTGCGCAGACGAAAAGATGGCCACGGGCGGCGCGTTGCCCACCCGGCGCAACTTATCCAGCCACGCAACGAACTTGGGATCGTTGACGCCGTCGAGGATCGCTTCGTCACCGCTATCCGAGGCCGAAGATGACGCGGCTGCAGTCTCCTTCTCCTTTGAGGGAGGCTCGGCGTGGTCCT